AGATTACGAGTGAGGCGAGCCGCTTCTTTGATGATGAGCTTGTGTTGTTTCCAGGCCCCAGTAGGCGTGAGAGCTGCCGAGGCGATGTTGTCCTTCAGGAAGTTGAAGTGGCGCAGGTACGTGGGGTCGTGGAAGATGGGCGGATCAATGGCCTGTTCCTCCTTCTGCGCCGCCGATGCGCTGACCAGCAGCAGGTGCAGGATCGCGTGGTCACTGAGGCATTTATCTGATAAGGCAGCGCCGTCTTTGTGGATCTTGAGGTGAGCGTCAACATTCATGAGATCGATGCCCGACAGCGATACGAAGATGCGGTCTATGGCGGTAGCCGCTTGTGCGTTGGCCGAGAAGTGCGTGGGCAGGTCGTGCGTAACTTCCGTGAGTGAGGCGAACAATTGGCGCCAACGTGTTTGTTCGCGCTGATACTGTCCATCAGGTGCCATTGGGCGCCAGCGTGCTGATGGATCCTTGAAGTTAAAGGAGGGGACCGCACTGGTGTTGAAATCGCCCATGGCAATGAATAGCCGCTGATGAGGGTTCTGCGCTGCCCATTGACGGGAAGCATGCCACGCTTCCGTCACTCTACCCATATCCTTAGCCTGCAGGTCGTGAGTGTGTACATTCATGATGAGCGTTTCGAAGCCTGTGGTGTGGTTGGCCACATGGAGGACAGCCGCCCTCCCGCGTATCGCTGGCCAAAGTGAGGTGGAGGTCGTCGACATCGATGGCGTCGGTACTAAGAGGGCAATGCCGCCCTTGCCGCGGTTGTGAGGGAAGCCACTGAAGAAGACCTGATAGTCGTAGGGAAGCTTGCCGAGGTGTGATTCGAGATCGAGCTGTGTGCTGTGCACCTCTTGGAGAGCGATGAGCGACTGCTTGCGCGCGAAGGGAACGAGCTGCCGTATCTTTCCCCAGCGCTTGGCATCATCATGACAGAGTAGCCCGCGAGCGTTCCAACAGATGTAGCTGCCTGCCGTATCAGCTGTAGAAGGGCGAGTACGTGTACGTGTAGTTCGTGACCGACAGTTGTTGAATGACGAGCTGGAGTCCGACGAGGATGAAGAAGCGCTAGAAGAGGACGATGACGAAGAAGCCGAAGATGAGCTGAAAGTTGAGGCCGAGCCATTCTGAATCATATCTATTTTGAGAATGTGATCTTGTTCGGGAAGAAGTAGAGCTCGCGCGAGATGAGGCAGATCATGCTGCGGAAGTAGCGAACCTGGTGGGCACTCCAGGCCCGAGAAATCTGAAATAACATCTGAATGGCTCTCCTGTCCCTTGGGGGCACCAGGGGCGTCCCAATCCCCATGTGCCTGTCGTCGCGGTGCAGGTAGATCTGCTGGTGCTCTATGATGCTGAAGATCTGATATGGGTTCCTGTGGCGCACGTTCAGGCTGAAGAGGAGCTTGCGCAGCTTCGGGGCAAGGGAGCTGGAGGTCAGGAGCTGGCTGAAGGCGCTGTGGGGGATGAGGCCGATGTCCTCGTGGTGCTTCAGACCCAGGAGGTCTAGCATGGTCTCCGTCTGTGGTCGTGGTTCTCCATGGAGACCAGCGTTTGTTAAAGCCATTGTACTGTGTCCTCAGCTTTGTAGAGAGCGGCAAATTCTGCAGCGATGGTGGCTTTGTTGATAGGAACATTGGCCAACGCATCTGGATTCCAACGAATTACCGTTGCCGCGTCCATGCCAGTGAGCTCCAGTTTGGCGGTGGGGATGGTGTTGCAGAAAATACGTCCTTGATCACGACGCGCGCGCCAATTGTGGGTGGGGTAGTGGGCCTGACAAAGAGCGAGTAGCTTTTTAGTTTGAGTTTCCATTATGATGCGCTTGATGTTCTTATCGGGGTTGACGTAGAGCGGGACGTACTGGCCGTGGTTGATGACGCAGTTGGTGGGGGTCTGAACTGTGAACTTTCTGTAACCTCCTCGTCCTGGAAACTGAAGGGCACGAGCGAGCGCAATGGATTTGGTAATGGCGACAGATCGGCCGCCCAGAAGCTGAAGTATGTAGCGCCGATTGGGTCCTTCACCGTGAATCTGGAACTGCTGCGGGGCCACTTCTGCTGCATCCAACCATTTTGTGATGGACGTGCGAACTGCGGCAGCGTCGATGGGCTGCGCGGGGGAGAGAATGTAGATGGCGGGATCGGGCTCGCGATCCCAGTCTGAGAGCTTGGCCATGTCCAGGATGGGAGCATCGGCTTCGCCCAGGCTGAGCTGCTGATTGATACGCTGGATGGCACTCCAGACTTCCTTATGTTGTGATTCTTGTTTGGCTTGAGCGATCTTGATAGCCATGAGGTCTTGTTCTTGCCCATCCAATCTGCGAGTGGTAGCTGCTTCATGTCGCTGTAGAGCGGCAATGAACTGCGCTTGCGAGGCGGATACTGTTTCTCCAACTGCGGTATTGATTGCTGCCACTTGTGATGCCATGATCTGCTTGAGCTCGCGCTGAATGTCTGGGTCCAGCGTTGATTGAGACCACGGTCCGCCTGCTGGCGTGGCGTTGCCTTCTGCTGCATGAGCTGGGGCGGCAGGAAGCTGTGCGGCGGGTAGCTGTGCGGCTTCGTGGGTGTCGCGTGCGGTTTGAGCTTCATGGTGTTCACGTGCTTGTCGTTCTTGCTGTGCGTGTTGATGAGCTTGCCAGTGAGCTTGTTCTTGAGAGGGAAAAGTAGGTGCTGCATCGAGTTATTCCAGTGCTGCTCGCTGCCATGCGTCTTGCGTGGCTGCTGAATGAAATCCACGAGGGGCGCCGTTAGCTTCACGTTCGAGAGGGCCTTAGAGCGTCCACTGTGTCCTTTGCGCGGCGGGCGTGAACCTTCAGATGAAGAAATGCGTTGGCGTCGATCCTTATCACGTCGGCGATGTCGATCACGGTCGCGGTCTCTATCTCTGTCGCGCCTTTCTGAATGTCTGCGGCGATCCCGACGGTGTCCACTGGCCTGACTTCTGCTCTTGGAGTCACTTCGTGAAGAAGCGGAGGCGGAGTCCATACGGAAGTGTGGTACAGCACTATGCCACGTGTTGCCTGTCCGATGCCAAGCGAGAGAAGAGCCAATCCAAATACCTGCAATCGAATTAGTTGAATTAGTAATTGTGTGACGGTGAGCTTCGTCTTGCGAATATGGAGCGGAGCCGTGGGCTGGGCGGCCTCACGGTCCAGTGAGTTATGGAATGGAACCGAGCTGAACGGCCAGCTGCCTTGGGAAATGTTTTACTTGAGCCAACATGGCTTGAGCCAAAATGGCTTGAACCAAAATGGCTACGGAGGAGGAGGAGGAGGAGGAGGAAGAGAAATTACAAGAATTAGGAGAACTCGAGGCCTATGCGTCCCCGAGAAGAGGCCTCACGCGAGAGGGCATGGCGACCCTGCGCTCCGGCCGACGTGGGCCGCTGGGCGCGGAACGCCTCCATTGGAGACGAGTGCGCCCACGCGCGACCTTGCGAGGGCGGCTTGCGCGCCAACGTCCGCGCGGACGAACTCGCCTGCGTCCCTCACGCTGTCGGGACCGGGGTCCAGGGCGGAGATAAGATCTACGACCGGGAACACCTCCCAGGGGTCCTTCGGGCTCCTGGAGGGCCCGAAAGCTTTCCCCCGTGTTTTGACGTGGGATGTGCTTGCGTGCGCAGTGTGAAGCGTCGGGCCCCTTTGTAGCTTTTCTCGGGCGTAGCCCGAATTTGTTCCTTCTCACGAGGTAAGCTGGACAGGCCTGGACTGGACTCGACTGGACTGAAGTAAACTGAACTGAACTGAACTGAAATGACAGGTCGCACTCGTTACGCGACGGTTTTATTCTCGGACGCCGAAGTCGCAACCTATGGCGCAACCAAGAGGAGACGGTTTCATGCTCGGCCGCCGAGGACCCAGCCGATGCCGCAACCGATCGGAGACGGTTTTATGCTCGGCGGCCGAAGGCGAAATCTATGGCGCAACCAGCAAGAGACGGTTTGCTCTCGGCCGCAGGGGGCGCAACCCATGCCGCAGCCGATAGGAAACGGTCTTATCCTCGGCACCAGAAAGCGAAACCTATGGCGCAACCAAGAGGAGACGGTTGTATTCTCGGCGGCCGGGGGCGCAACCTATGGCGCAACCAGGAGGAGACGGTTTTAGGCTCGGCCGCAGAGGGCTCAACCGATGGCGCAACGGGTCGGAGACGATTTGATTATTGGCGACCGACGGCGCAACCTATGGCGCAACCAATCAGAAGCGGTTTAGCTCTCGGCCGCCGAGGGCGCAACCTATGACGCAACCGATGGGAGACGGTTTTATTCTCGGCCGTATGGCGCAACCAAGGCGAGACTGTTCAAGGCGCAACCTATGGCCCAACCAATGGGAAGCGGCTTTATGCTCGGCCGCAGAGGGCGCAACCTGTGGCGCAACCGATAGGAAACGGTATTATTCTCGGCCGCAGAGGGCTCAATCTATGTTGCAACCGGTAGAAGACGGTTTGATTGTCGGCGGCCGAAGGCGCAACCTCTGGCGCAATAGGAGACAGCTTTATTCTCGGCGCCAGAAAGCGAAACCTATGGCGCAACCGATAGAAGACTGCTGTATTCTCGGCGGCCGAGGGCGCAACCTATGTATGCCTCTGGCACGACCAGGACGCCGTCAACACACTCACCGTGCTGGGGGCCCGCGAGGAATACGAGGACGAAGCGTGGGCATCCAGATGCGTGCGGGGCTACGCCCGATGTATGCTGGCCGTTTGGGCTGGCGGTGGGGCCCAAGCGGCGAGCTGTCTTCTGATGACAGATCGGTCGTTCCTTCGGCCCTCTTCGTCCCTCGGGCGCTCGTGGGACATTTCTGATGTCTGTCTAGTTTGTTTCGCGGACCTGGCTCTTCTGAGGCAAACCAAGCCTCTCCTTCAATTCCTCATGTCTTCCCTTCATCAGATTCTCCTCCCCCTTCCCCTCGCAGATCCATACTCCCTCACCCTTACCACTTTTCCCTTCGAGGTCCTCCTCTACTCTACTCTTCCCTCCTCCTCCTCTTCCCCGCCAAGCACCGTTAAAGAGTCGACTATGTCGTTCAGGCTGGTGGACCCGTCCCAGGCATTGTCGATGGCTTCCATGATCCACATGGCCTTGGGATTACCCGTCCGACGGGCCGACGAATCAAGGATGAGCAAAGAGAGAAAGAAAGGATGCGGGGACCGTGCAGGCCATGTCAGCCACAAGTACTCAATCCGACAACCATTACAATTCTCGAACCAGCGTCAACATCGTCAGCAAGGTGCCTTGAGTATACCCATGGGCGAGAGAGCCAGCGGGGTTGGTGGATGGATGACGGAATCGGGGCAGTAGGCGGAGGACAAGCTGCAACAATTGCACTACTAACTAGCCGTGATGAGTGAAGATTTGGAGCTGCGACGGGTTCACAGGGCTCGCCGTCTTGGAAGACTGTGCCGAGCCACCTCCCAAGGCTTGTACAGCCACCGCGCTGCCATACGGAACGCTGAATAAGGAACGAACGAGCTTCTCTGGCAAAGGCGAGGCGTGGCCACGAAACGTCTCCCCGACCTGACTCTGAGGAGCGGCCCGAAAAGCAGAGTCCCCCCTAAGCCCAGAGCGGTCCTTCTACGAGGCTCTTGACTTTAAAAGCCTCGGCCTACGCCTGCTCTTTTTCCCGCCTGCGCTGCAAAAGCCTGTCCAAGTCTGGGCGCACAGGGCGCCAGCACGCCTGTGCACCGCCCATGCCTTCGGGGAACACATACGAACAGAAACACAAAACTTTCGGAGCTCCGCGCGGCCTTCTCGGATCTGCGCTGGACCTCCCTCCCTGGCGCGCGGAGCGCGCCAGGGGCGGCGCCGGAGGCGCCGCCAGGGGGGCCCAACGCAGATCCAAGAAATCCGCGCGGAGCGCCTAAAACAAATAAGTTTCTGCGCGTCGTTCGCCTAAACATAAACTTCCTCCCTGTCCCAGGCGTCACATCTGCGCCGCCGATGCGAGGTGCCTCGAGATGCCACCCCGAGACGCGGCCACCGGCGCCACCCCCACTTGGCCGCCAGCCTCGAGCAGCGGAGACGCCACGGCCCAAGGACGTAAGTTTCCGCGCCCCCCACGTCGGTGGACCCCTTCGAGTAATCCCATCGGGCCTCTCAGGGGTGGCACGGCGGGCCCGCACCCGCGGGGATGAGTGGCCCATCGGCGGGACGAGAAAAAGGCTCCGCCGGGAACCGGGACGCCCGAGAGGGGGCGTGAGACCGCCGGGGCCGGCCCCGTCGAGCGCAGGCGATGGTCCTCGGAGTGCCAGCGCGGGGGGGGGGGGCAGCGGCCCCGTGCCCAAAGCCCTGACCGCGTGGGCGATGGTATATTGGGCGCTCTCGCGCGAAATCCTGGGATTCGTCGCGCGGCTTGTCCGAAAGCCTCGGAACGGGGTCGCGACTCCGAAATCCCAACACTCCGAAATCCCCACATGCCCGAAACTGTCACAGACCGACGTCCTCGAGCGCTTTGGAGGCCTTCTGGGCCATTGTGGGGGCCGTACGGAAGCCCACATCGTGAGAAACAATGTCTCCTCACTGTTTCACCACAATTCTTGCTCTCCCTCCCCCACACCCCCACTCCCTTCGTCCCAATTCCCCTCCCTCTCCCAGCCCCATCCGTTCTGACATCCAACCCTCCTTCTGCCACCGTCGCCATGGTGCGATCCAAAGACCCCCAAGGTCTCCTCGGACCAAGTGGCGTTCAAGACGGGATAGGCGAGCCGCATCATCCGCGATTTGCTGACGTCGTTCGCCTCGGCGAGGGCAATCAGTTCCTTCCGGTGGGGGGCTGGAGAAGGATGAGGAAGACGAGGGCAACGAGACCGGCGAGGAGGAAGATGAGGAGCAACAGTGGAAGGAGAGGCGTGCCGTACACTACGATCAAGCATTCACGCAGTGGCCCCTGGATGACTGCGCGGCTCTTGCCAAATGCAGCGTGTCGCGCCTTTGTTCCCCAAGCACTGCCTGCACTTGGGAGCTCTTGCGAGTGATTCTGACTATTACCACCAGCCCTGTACGGCGTGAGCCCTTTGTCTCTTCTTCTCCTTCGGGAAGGGGTTTACACCTCCCCCTATGTTCTCCCCCTGGGCCTGGACGGCGGGGGGCGCGAGATGTCAGAGCGTTTGCTTGGCCCCGGTGAGAAGACCAACATCGACTTAAGTCAGAGGTTGACCACATGTTGGCCTCTTGAGCGGGCGCCGCTAATTTACTGCGGCCCCTTTAACCGATCTCCTCCAGGATGGCCCCAAGATGGCCCCCGAGGGTGCCCCACCACGGCTCCAAGAGGTCAAGTGCACAGGGGGCCCCAAGAGGCCCCCAGGACGCCCCTGAGATACCTCCAGGAGGCTTCCGCGAGACCCCCAAGAAACCCAAAGAGGTCCCCCAGATCAGTGGCTACAGTTTCGACCACTGTTTGGCCTCCTGCTCAGGGGACCCCAATGAAGGACCCCCGCTCCGTGGATCGATCTCCTCCAAGATGGCCCCCGAGACTCCCAAGGGTGCTCCAAGACGGCCCCAAGAGGCGCCCAGGATGCCCCAAGAGGCCCCCAGGATGCCCCACAGAGGCTTCCAATAGACCCCCAAGATGCCACAAGCCAAGAGGCCCCCCCAGAGGCACCCAAGACGCCCCAGGAGGTCCTGGAGAGAAAGCCACAATCATTCGTTTTACAATACAGAAAAATAGTGGACACAATTTGACCTACTGGGGGGGGCTAAATTAGTAAGGTACCCCACCACGGCTGCAAGATGTGCCCCGAAGCCTCAAGAGGCCCCCAAGACGTCCCCAAAATGCCTCAAACAATCTACCAAGAGACCCCCAAACGGCCCGAAGAGGCCCTCCACAGGTACCCAAGACGCCGCAAGAAACCCCAAAGACTGTCAAGAAAACTTTAAGACGGCCCACGAGGACTCCAAGAAGCTCTCGAAGGACATCCGAAGAGATTCCAAGAGGCATCATTAGGCCTCTGGCCTTTCTGCTCGCTCTCCTCCTCCTCCTCCTGCTCCTCTTCCTCATTCGCCAATTCCTCCTCCTTCCTTCTCCCTCGTCTCCCTCCCGCCTGCTCCTCCTCCTGCTCCTCCGATCCCTCCTCCATCCTCCCCCTCTCAGGGTACGAAGCCTTGCCCAGCCCTTCATCCCATTGCGTGTTCCTCCACAACCCTAATCAGGGCAGCTCGTCTGGGAATCGTTCTGGACGGGCTGGCGGGGTCATTTTTTTGGCTAGCGGTTCCAAGGCGACCGCCAGGGAGCGGGAGCGACGTCCGGGGCGGCGGAACATGGCGAATTTGCGAACACGGCCGCCAGCGTCGGCGAGCCAGCTCGCAAAACTACAGCAGAAGCAACTGCAAGAGGACATGCAATGAAAGCGACCGCACGTGCAATTCGCCGGCCCAACGGGCCAGGGCGTGCTAAGATCTCCGGTGCCTGGTTAACAGTATTTCTAGTTCGCGCGCGCGGGGCGGCCCCTGGGGGTCCCCGGACGAAAAGTACCCCGGCAAGGTCCCGGCAAGGTCGGGTCAGAGATGCCGGAGCCCTGTTACAGGGCCCCAGGACGGGGCAAGAGGTCCCCAAGAAGCCTCCAAGACGGTCCAAGAGGGCCCCGAGACGGCCAAAGATCGCCCGAAGACGCCCAACAGGGCCCCAAGACAGCCCAAGAGGCCTCCAAGACGCCCCAAGGGCCTTCCAAGAGGCCTCCGAAGAGGGCCCCAAGAGGCCAAAATCGTTGATTTTCATTGTTTTTTTCGATGTTTTTTGCGTTCTGGCTTTTTCGGCTTCCGGACGCTCCAAGACGGCCCAAGAGGCCCCCAAGACCGCTCCAAGACGGCCCACGAGGCTCCCAAGACGGCCCCGGAACGGCCCAGGAGGGCCCCCAAGACGGCCCAAGTGCCGCCCAAGACTGACCAAGAGGCCCCAAGACGGGCCCAAGAGGGGCTCAAGAGGAGAACCGAGAACTGAAAAATCTAGCCCTCCGCCCCAGAAGGCGCCCAGGAGGCCCCAAAAAGGCCCCAACAGGCCCCCAAGAGGCCCCCAAGACGCCCCAAGAGGCGCCCAAGAGGCCCAAAAGATGCCCCAAGAGGCCCAAAAACTGCCCCCAAGAGGCCCCAAAACTCGGCTAGCCCACAACGGTGCGACAATATGGGCCGGCGGAATGAGCGAAGCGATTAAATAAGCAAATGCTCTACATTCGGGCTGGCGTTTTTTTTTGTTTTTTTTTTTTTTTTTTTTTGTTTTTTTTTTTTTTAGCGGCCCGAAAGGAAAAGTCCAGAGGGCGTAAGGACCGAGGCTGGGGCACAGCGCAAGATAATTAGCGCGAGAACGCGCGGAGTGCACATGCAGCGAGGAGTCGCCCTGACGGCGCCAACTCGGGAAGAAACAGACACAAGCAGCCTGCCGCGAGGCACGCACAGCCTGCACCGGTGCAGTAGGCTGGCGGGGTCACGCGAAGCGTCCAGAGCTGGCGGGGGGACTCTGGGACTCGCCACTGGCCCGCCACTCGGGCACCCCGCGGGCGCCCAGTGCGCCTGGCCTGGCGGGCTGCGGCTGCACCGGGCAAGCCGACCGTAAGGCGCGCCGTGGGCGCCTCTGTGCGCTGGCGGCGCGAGCCGGGGTCTCGTCCAGTGCACGGCGCCGTGGGCGCTGCGCCCCGTGCACGGCACCGCATACAGTCGGGGCGTTGACCTAAGGAACCCCAAAGAAGGAACGATGCCCCTTTTTACCACAAGCTGAACTTCGATTTCCCATTGAAAACATGAGGAAAACTTGAGGCAAGCTGTGAAACAATTAAGGAGCACGGAGCCCCTTCCCAACGAAAAGGGTTCCTTCTTCAGGGACCCGACTGTAGTTCACACAAAACTGGCTCTAGTCACACAGCCTGCAACACCCTGTCGGTGCGTTTGCGCGTGAGAGGCTCTCCCCTGCGAGTCGTCGTCCTCGTCCCCGCTCCCCCTCAAGCGATCCAGCCAAAGGGAGATCGAGCACCGTCGTAATGGAGTCGAGTGGAAACCGCTTCCCTTTGATCCCTCCCCCGCCGAGGGGGGGGGGGTCCCGGGGGGGTCCTGGGGGGTGCGGCCCCCTCACCTGCCCATGTGGGGGAGCACCCCTCCCTGGGAACAGCTTTCCCCTACGATTCCTTGCCGCCCAGACGCCTCGGGCTCCCCCCTTCAGGATCGGCGGCAGCGGCCAACAGACCTTCACAATAGCTTAAGCCACCTAGCTGCATAGCTTGCATCGTGCACCACTGAGCTTGCACCACATCGGCTGCGCCGCATACCTTACACACCAAGCTTACACCATGTAGATTGCACAACCTGGCATGCACCACATAGCACGTAGATTTCACCACAGAACTTTCACGATCTCTACATATATAGATACAGTATGTTTTGCGTTGCGCTAAGCTGCTTACACTACCTAGGTTACACATCAAAGTTTGCATAAGCTAGATTGCACATCCAGAGTGCAATGGATGACTGTTTGGATTCCACGCCAGCGCACGTAGACGTATCTTTGATGGTGACACATGATGTGTATGGCCGCCCGTGTCGCGTAGTGCAAATGATCGTCTTTTGCAGGCTTTACATCGGCTGTCGCCAACTACTGTGCAGTCAACTTCGCTGCCTTGGTGGGTAGGTAGTCCATGTTGCTGCCTCACCACCCACGCTCAGATCTGGCCACAATATGTTAACCATCTCTTTGATATCGGTATGATGTGCCACCGATATGGACATTCGAAAAGGCAGCAGCGCTCATCTAGGTTCAGCTACTCAGCAGTCGTCATGGACCCTGGGACCATGCCCACGAAGGTTCGAACCACGTGCGAGCATCCACACGCTCACCCTCTTCGCTCACAGCTGCCTGAGTCGCCTTCTCGCGCTCGAACGCGTACGGTTGGAACTTCAATTCTATCGCTGCCTGTTAGCGCAGGCTGGGCGGACACGGCTCCCAGCCCTCGAAGCATCCTGCAATCACGCAGTGGCTATACATCGATGACCTTCAACTAATCAGACAGCTTGCGAACATGGAGCCGTTGCAAACATATCTCCGTCGACTTCCTCCCAATCAACCCGTCGGTTTGAGCCACTTGCCTTTACATGCCTGTTCGCGCTCGCCTCAGCCACTGGCTGGGTGTCCGCCGAGGCCGTGCCAAGCCGGCTTTCCCATCCACTTCCTCTGGGGGTCGTACCGCGCATCTTGTCCGTGGACGCCGGCTGGACTCTCCCCACCATCTGTGGCACTGCCTCCACTGCAGGGGCATGCGGCTCTAATGGCGGCCCGACCAAGCAACCCCAGAACTCACAGAACCAAATACGCAGCGGGCACGCTCACAGGCTGCAGGGCGTGTTCGGCGGCGCAGGCCGGCGGCGCTGAGGCTGCTCGGCGCGGGGTCCTGTGGCATCGCTTGGCGGCGCGCCCGGGCCCTCCCGACTGGTGAGGGGGGGGGGCGGCGGCGCCAGGCTAATTAAGTTGCAATTGGCTTCGCGACGGCTGGCCTGGGCACCCGTTGTCCCGCGTGCTCGCCAGGCGCGCTTTTGTCCTCTTCCTTCCTCCTCCTCCCCCCTCCTACTCCTCTCCTCTGCCAGCTTTTCCGCGTCTGCTCGTCACCCGTTCTCGCCGCTGGGCTCCCTCTGGATGGTAAAAAAAAATGTTCGGCACCTTCCTCCTCCTCCTCCTCCTCCTCCTCCCCCTCCTCCTCCTCCTCCTCCTCCTCCTCCTCCTCCTCCTGCCCCGCGTCACCCCTCTTGCCCTTTTGCTCCTTGGCCCCCCATCCACACTCCTCCACGCTCCTCCGTCCGTCTCTCTCTCTCTCTCTTTCTCTCTCTATCGGGTCCTTGTCCTTCCCTCCTCCCCCTCCTTCTCCTTCCCTTTGCTGGTGCTCCCTCCTCATTCACCACTCCTCGTGCTTATTGCCTCGGGGCTCCCGGCAGCTCCTCGACCGTCTTGTACTTCAGGATTACGTCCCCAGAGGCCTGATCGCAAACTTTCCTGCGGGCCCACGGCGCCAGGACAGGGAAGAGGACGAAGCACAGGACGAGAAGGAGCTCGAGGAGGATCCGAGTAAACCCCAGAAATTGGTAGGCGCGTCGTGGTGAATGATAATTTCCCCTATTGAGGGAAAGGAGCTCCGCCGCCAAGAACCCAGGATGCACCGACGATGCTGAAACATTTCCCTCCCGTCCCAGGTCCTCCTCGTCGCAATTCTCTACACTATTCGTTTTCACTACGCGTGGTGAACCACTCGGGCAAGATACCCGTCCTGGAAAGGATCTGCCTGCCGCACGGGGAACGCAATGGCAATCGCAATCGCGACGTTGATGTCAAGCAACAAAAAGCAATTGGAAAAGAATCGCCCTCCATCCGATTAGCAGCTGCCCTTGTTGAGCTCCCGGGCAACAGCATATGATAACGTACGAGCGAATACACACTATGGGCCATGGGGAAACAGCACTCCTCCACCCGCAGAAATGCTGAAACTAATAACACTCAGGCAATGTGGTCTGAGGAATGTCCAAGCGGGTGCCGCATTCAAACAATGAACTTGCATGAACTCGTGCCCAACACAAACATGGGAATCACACATCGAAGCGACTTGAACCGTGCATCCTCAGGCTGATCCTCTTCAGGGAGAGACAGATAGGGAGAGAGAGAGAGAGACGGAGACTTGTTTCCCGAAAAGATCTTCATAGAGAGAGAGAGAGAGGAAGCGAGAGAGAAAGAAGGAGTGAGAGAGCGAGATCACGACCGAGCAAGGACGAGACTGTGCGAGAGAGAGAGGGAGCGATACCACCAGACAGAGAGAGCGAACCATATCGATTGAGATGTACATCTGTATAGAGAGAAAGATATTCAGACACATGGAGATGGAGATAATGGGCAACTGCATGCATATACAGAAACATCACACATCGAGACAGGGGCAAGGTAAGCGAAGAGCTTCCAGGACAGGTTGCTGACGCTCTGGAGGTTGTTCCACCCCGCCTGCTGGAAGCCCATCGTGTTGGTGGCATCCTCGCCACCTCGCCGAAGAGTCGGAGGGAAAAGATCGCTGAGAAGGGGAGGCTTGGCTTGGCTTGTGCTTGCCCCAAAGGCGGTCAAAACTGGGCTTCCTCGAATGCCTGATGCTCCGACTAATTCAAACCGACTTCCGGCCCTGCAGGTGCACTTTGCATCGCTTCATGACCCGGCAACTGCACGCGTGGGCGATCGCCAGCCGTTAGGCCCAACGCTCGGAGCACAACTTCCTCCCGCGAAAGGGGGGGATAGCAAAGGGGGGGTTTGAGAATCAGCTCACGTAGCTGATTTTCCCGGCGCCTCCCGGCGCCGGAGGCGGCCATGTATCGAGGAATGGGCCCCTCGGTGGGGCCGAGACCAGCTGCATGCAGCAAATTCCGCAACCGCCCCTTGCCCAATCCCCCCCTTTCGCCCGGCCCGACATCCGCAGACTGCGACGGGCTCGGCGGCGGAGGAGCTGGCTGGGCGGCGGTCTCCCCCCGAAGGCCCCCCCTTATCGGGCTTCCGAGAGCACGCCGCGGAGGGACTGGCAAGGCTTCCCGCGCCTGCCGAGGCAATGCCGTTGCAGGAGTCGCGGACCCCCGGAGCAAAAGGCCACCCCTCGGAGCGGATCGCCCCGCAGCACGAGCAGCAGAGGGTGGCCCAGTTCGGGAGTGCACGGTATCGACGTCGGCCTGCAGGAGGAAGTGCCTCCGCCACCAGGAAGAACTGGGAGGGAGAGGAATGGCACGTCGGAGGGAGAGGAGGGAATAATGCAGTGTTGGGAAGGAGGAAAGGAGAGAGAGGAGCCGATGAGCTGGCGCCGTAAGCAGTAGCCAGCGACTCGATATTGAAACGCCCCCCTCGAACTCGGACACATAACATTCAATGAACAGATGTCTCAATCTTGAAAGACGGTCCAAACACGATAACCAAATTAGGCAAAACAGAATACGGAATGCAGCACATACATAGTCAATGTCACTGGTCTCGGAATCGAAGAAACATGGCTCCAATAAACGGCCAACCTGGGCGGGCTCAACTTCAAATGTACTTGTCAAAAGCTACCGTGCAATCTGCCAGCGTGGACCGACCAACAGCAGGAGGTTGTTGCACTGTGTATACACAATCTTAGCGGCGCAAAACTAGGTAATCCAAACTATGCGGTGCTATAAATGTGATGCAAACTATACAGTGCAAGCCGTGTGGTGCAAGCTCGGTGGTGTAATCAATGCTGTGCAGGCCACGTGGTGAAAACTATGCGATGCAGGCTATGTTCCGTAAGCTATTGTGGTGCGCGCTGCGCGGTTCCACGGGTGTGGTGCAAGCTGCGCGGTGGAACTCCTGTGGTGCCATCTGTGTGGGGCAAGCGGCATGGTGCAAGCTACAGTCAACCCCGTATAGCAAGGATGCGCGAGAAGGATGCAGGGGCCTTGGATGCCCATTTCGAAGCTTCTCGAGCGGGGCGCGGCCAGCGCAGGCGGCCCAGGATGGACCCGAGGAGGCGAGGCGAGGTGCAGGCTGTGCCGTGCACTCTGTGCGGCCGCCCGGCGCGCACGAGGCGCCCACGAGGCGCCCACGCGGCCCAGGGCGACACCTCGGCGCACCCGCCCGGCGCACGAGAGGCGCCCGCGGGGGCGCCCCCCTGCGGGCGCGGGGCGGGCAACGGGCGGCACCTCGGCACGCCCGCCCGGCGCACGCGAGGCGCCCGCGAGGGCGCCCACCGGGCGGGCGCGGGACAAAACCTCGGCCCGCGAGGTGCCCGACGGGCGGGCGCGAGGCGAACCCTCGGCACACCCGGCCTGCACCGGGCACCCAACGAGGCGCCCACGAGCGCCAGCCAAGCAGGCACCCGGGCGAATCTCCGGCAGACCAGTCGATGCCTGGCGGAGTCAAAAAAAGATGGAGCCCGAAGTGCAGGCACTGCTTGGGGGAAAAACGAACCCATGGCTGGCACGGAGATGCACAATATTGTGTCGATGGAAAGACAGAGCGGCGCGAAATTAGAGGTCCCCATGCGAACCCTACCCCTACCCCCCACGATTTCTACGGGGGAGGGTGGGGGTCACTTCGTAGAAATCGTGGGGGGTAGGGGTAGGGCTCGCATGTGGACCCCTAGAAATACGGCAACTCACCAATTGCAGATAGAAGCGAAACGCACATCAAATGAAACTCGACATCGATATTCCATGATCCGCCACCGTGCCCCGTGGCACGTTGAGGCGTGCTAGAGTGCCAAGTGCTGTCTGGTAGGGTTTCTGTCATCTTCTAAGGAGCCCCACCTCTCCCCGCCGCGCGCACCGGCCATATTCCTGGGGGGTCCTTTGGATGCCATGGCGCCTCCCTGGGGCTCTCCAAGGCTTCCTTGACGGCCCAGGAGACCCCCAATACGGTCCAAGAGGGCCCCGAGCCCGAGCGATCGCCCGCAGACGCCCAAGATGGCCTCAAGATAGCCCAAGAGGCCTCCGAGACGCCCCAAGATTCCTCCAAGGGGCCTCTAAAGAGGGCCCCACGATGCAACACGTGTTGATTGTCCTTAGGACCTTGCAAGGACTTGGGTGTTCTCGCCTCTTCGGCTTCCGGACGCTCCAGGGCGGCCCAGGAGGCCCCCAAGACCACCCCAAAATTGCCCAAAAGACATCCAGAGACGGCAAAAGAGCGCCCCAAGACGGCCCAACAGGCGCCCAAGACTGTCCAAGAGGGCCCAAAGAGGGCTCCAAGACGGCCCCAGAAGGGGCCCACGAGAGGGAGCACGAACCGAAAATGTGAGCCTTCCGCCCAAAGAGGCCCCCAGGAGGCCCCGAGAGGCGCCCAAGACGCCCCAAGAGGCTGCCAAGAGAGGCGCCCAAGAGGCCCCCAAGAGGTCCCAAAGAGGCCCCCAAACGGCCCCCAAGAGGCCTCCAAGCTGCATGCAAGAAGGCTTCATACCCACAACACAGGCACGGTGGCTGGACTTGCCGTAGGCAGCAGGAAATCTGGCATACTTCCTTCCAGATCTTGATCGGAGGGGATGAGGCTAACTAGAGCAGCAGCTGGAAAAAAGCGGGGGAGAGAGAGGGAGAGATTGACAAACCGACCGAGAGGAGTGGGATAGAGAGAGAGAGAGAGACAGAGAAGTAACGAAAGCGTGAGAGGTGCATCATGTATGCATGAATGTGTAGATCATTATTAAGAGGTGTACGGATTAAACGAGAGTGAGACGGACACCGGGATAACAGAAATAGGGAGAGAGATAGAGAGAGAGAGAGTGAGAGACCAGCGACTGAGAAAAGATAGCCATGCAGACATGGCAGATACGATGAAAGAGTGAAGGTGGCGGGAGGAACGAGAAATCTGAGCAGGAGGAATGCCCAAACGTATACGATACACATACGCGTATACTGGCATTCATATCTCACATACGTGAACATTAAGCAACAAATTATATCACAATGAATGTGTAAGACATGGTGTCAACTGCGTGGTGGAAACTGTGGTACAAGCTATATGCCGGAAACTATGCAGCGCATGCCACGTGAGGCAATATGCGTGGTGCGGGTCGCGTCGTGCGCCTACGTGGTGCAAACTAAACGGTGCAAGCTGCGTGGTCCACGCAATGCTTTCCACGTTATGTGGTGTAAGCAATGTTGTGCCGTCTACGCGGTGCAATCGACACGGTGTGGTGCAAGCCATGCGATGCAGGCAAGGTGATGTAAGCAATGTGGTGCATCCTGTGTTGTGCAATGTACGAGGCGAAATGAAGTTGTCAACTACACTGTTCGCGCAAATACCCAACCTCCCACCCGAAAATTGTTTTGCAAAGCTCAGGCGGCCGCGACTGCGGCGACTGATTGGCACTGGCTAGCGCATCCCTGCGGCAGCGATGGCGCGTGCACGTTCGCGCCCACATCGGCCAACTGATTGGGCGTAACTGATGCGGACGCGATGGCGCTTACCGAGGGGAACTTCCCAGTACGCATCAAAGCTTGCGCTGGCGCGTGAACACTTCTGTGCCAATGACGGCGCCGATGTTGACGACGATGGCGGTGATGATGTCCATGTGTCCATGATGATAAGATTGGCTGATGCTGGCGGCAGAAGCGGCGAATGACGACGACAATAACGGCAGCAATGCGATGGCGCTGATGCGGGTGATGGCGAGGAAGCGCGCGCTCAGAAATCCGAAGAGCCAAGCAAACTGTTTGGTGAACGTCACGTGTGTGCTCATCTGTATTTGAAGAGCTCTTGCTGGAAACCCTCCGGATCTCCATGGTGCGAAAAGTTTCTCGACGCGCGACCGTCGCGGCGCGCGCGCGTGGCCCACGTGAGTTGATGTGGTACGCATCCCTGCACGGGGCGCATGTTAGATCAACGCAGGCACATCGCGTAGCAAGATGAGAATGCGGCTTCTGGACGATATGGCAAACATCACATGGTTTAGATGTGATTCCAGCAAGTGCGCGCGGGCAGAAAACCTGCACTGTGATTGGTCGAGCAGCCATGGTTTGGTTTGATGTGTTTCTGCTTGAATGTTTGCAGAACTCATATACCTTGTCCAGTTTCGAGATGTGCGAACGACCGTTTGGATTTTGCGATATCTGACTGGAAGGGTGCGCGAAGAAGAACGTTTGAAAGGGGTGAGGGGGGCGGATGCCGGCTCGACCTGGAATGGTAAGATTGCGTGACGAGAAAAACGATGATGCACAATCGAATACGTAGTGTGTACATATATATATATATATGGCATGCGTGTATGCCAACTTCAATATCCCAGGGGCGGGGGGGGGGGGCGATCTGTCCAGGGAAGGAAGGGCTGCGGAGTATGTCCTTCGCTTGCGAGGGAGCTCTCTACGTGATGCAGGCTGCCAGGGCGCCCGCGGGGCACCCGCGGGCGGGCCTCCGGCGAAGCCTCGGCACACCAGCACACCCCTGCAACGGTAGGCGCCCGCGGGCGACGACTGGGCGAGACCTCGGCATATCCTCCCAGCGCAGGGCGCCCACGAGACGCCCGCGGGCGGGCAACAGCCAGAACCCTGGAGCGGTGCCCAACCAATGACTTGAGCAGAACCAGTAAGAACCCCCCCTCAGTAGAAACACTGCTCAGGACATGTGATGCGGCTGGCAAAGGGAAGGAGAGGATGCGAGGAGGATGAGAGGTCGGATGTAGGGAAGAGTCAGGAGAAAAAGTGGGAAACAACCAAACCGTGCGCGCACAGAACGCTCTGAGCGCATAACCATTCAGTACGTCACAATCGTTGGACACGTAGCACCACTGCTTGTCGGTGTTGTCATCAGCCGGGAAAGGCAACAAGTCGACATTGATGCACGACCTGGAAAGGACGACAAGGGCACCGACGCGACACCGGCGAAGTGAGACTCCTCCTCCTCCTCCTCCTCCTGCTCCTCCTCCTCGTCATCATCCTCCCTCTCCTCTTCCGCCTCCTCAGTCGCTCCTCCTCATCCTCCTCCTCCGCCGACCTCTCTTACTTCGAGAAAGCCCAATGGCGACTGCCGCGACGTGAATGACGATGACCAGTGCATAATTCCCCAGGCTGTGCAGGGCAAGCTGTGCTACAGACTAGCGGACGATGTCGTCAGGAACGGCGGGGTCCGTGCGTGAATGTACCGCAGGGGGGCGCCCGACCGCCACTCCCTCGAGCAAATGTTGCCGAACATGGGCGGCAACCCCTGCCATCCGACGAGCGGAGTGGGGCACTGCTGCAACTCGGGCTCTGTGGGGGTTGAGGTGCGAGACGGGGCTGGGGCCAAGAGCAGTCGAGTGGAGACGGCGCCGGCACAGAAACAAGTGGCACGCGTGCTCTGGCTCTTGCACATCTGAGGAGAGAAGGAGGACGAGGCGCAGGTGGGGGATCGAGGAAACAAGGAGGAGGAGGAGGAGGAGGAGGAGGGGCCAGGGCGCCCTGGTGCTGAATCAGCGGTTGTCGATTGGGGCCTACTCGAATGAGGTATTTCTGGCAGCTGAGGCGCGATAGATTTTTCGAGGCTGGGCCATGTGGGGAGGCCAACGGGGCGAGGGGGGCTGGGGCAAGGACCAGGAGGGTAGGCTGGGTCCAGTGCCAGGACCAGGGGGCGGCTGGGGCCAGGTCAGGGAGGCAGGGCCAGGACCAGGACCAGGGAGACGACGACGAACAAGAAATAAAGGATCTGGCGCGAAAGGGGCTGGGGCCAGGGCCAGGGAAGTGGCTGGGTCCAGGGCCAGGGGCAGGGGTGCGACGAGAAGCAAACATGAAGGGTCCAGGGAGAGGGGGGCTGGGGCCAGGGCCAGGGGAGGACGCTGGGTTCAAGGACAGGGGCGTCCGATGTTAAAGGGTCGGGGCGGGAATGGCGCGCTGGCCGGCGGGCGGGGGGGGCGCAATGCCGGAATAGAAAGGGTCGGGGCGGGGTGGCGCGCTGGCTGGCGGGCGTTTGGGGCGGGGAGGGGGCGCGTGGGATGGAGGGTGGGCCGTGCCGGAATGACGCGGTCGGGGCGGAAGGGGCGCGCTGGCTGGCGGGTGGGGGGGCGCGGGGGGGGGCGCGCGGGATGGGGGGGGTGCCGTGCCCGAATAGAAGGGTCGGGGCGGAGAGGGCGCGCGGGCTGCTGGCGGGCGGGGGGGCCGCGGATGGGGTCGCGCGGGGGGGGGGGGCGTTCGATATAAAAGGGTCGGGGCGGGAGGGGCGCGCTGGCCGGCGGGCGGGGGGGCGCGCGGGGCAGGGTGGGGCGCCGCGCCGAAATAGAAAGGGTCGGTCGGGGCAGAGGGGGCGCGCTGGCCGGTGGATGGTGGCGCGGGCGGGTGGGCGTGTGCCGTGCCGAAGCGCCATGGTCGGGGCGGAGGGGGCGCGCTGGCTGGCGGCTGGCGGGCGAGGGGGGGGGCGGAGGGGGCGCGCGGGAGGGGCGGGGGGGCGCCGAAATGAAAACATCGGGGCGGAGGGGGAGCGCTGGCTGGCGAGCGGGGGGGGCGCGGGGGGGGCGCCTGCGGCGAAAGAAAACGATCGGAGGGCGGAGGGGGTGCGCTGGCTGACGGGCCGGGGGGGGCGCAGAGGGGGCGCGCGGCGTGAGGGGTTGGGGCACCGTGCCGAAGGGAAACATCGGTGCGGGAGTGGCGCGCAGGCTGGCGGGCGGAGGGGGGGGCGGTGGAGCCGCCGGCGGGCGGGGGGCGCGCAGTGGGGACGCGTGGGATGAGGGGGGGGCCGTGCAGGCGTAAAAAAACGCCGCGGAAGGGAGCGCGCCGGCCGGCGGGCGGGAGGGGCGCGGAGGGGGCGCGCGGGATGGGGGTGGGGTGCCGCGCCGAAAGAACAGGGTCGGGGCGGAGGGGGCGCGCTGGCTGGCGGGCGGGGGGGGCGCGGAGGGGGCGCGCTGGATGGGGGAGGGGTGCCGCGCCGAGATAAAAGAGCTCGGGCGGGGGGGCGCGCTGGCTGGCGGGCGGGGAGATGGTGGTCTGGACGCGGGGAGGGAGAGGGGGGGGGGGGCGCGACGCAAGAAAAGAACCGGGCGGAGGGCGCGCGCAGGCTGGCGAGGGGGATGCGGAGGGGGCGCGCGGGGTGGGGAAGGGGGCCGTGCCAAAATAAAGAGGTCGGGGCGGAGGGGGCGCGCTGGCTGGTGGGCGGGGGATGTGGCGGGGGAGATAGGGGGCGCGCCGGCTGGCGGGATGGGTGGGTGATGGAAGGCATGCCGTGCCGAAACAAGCGGCGCGCGTGCTCTGGCTCTTGCACATTTACGCAGAGAAGGAGGAGGAGGAGGAGGAGGAGGAGGAGGAGGAGGAGGAGGAGGAGGAGGAGGAGGAGGAGGAGGAGGAGGAGGAGGAGGAGGCGCGGGTGAGGGATCGAGGGAACAAGGAGGAGGAGAGAGAGGAGGAAGAGGAGGAGGAGGAGGAGGAGAAGGAGGAGGACCTGAGGAGGAGGGAGGAGGATGAGGAGGAGGACGACGACGACGACGAAGAGGAAGGGAGGAGGAGGAGGAGGAGGGGCCAGGGCGCCCCGGCGCTGAATCAGCGGATGTCAATTGGGACCTACTCGAATGACATATTTCTGGCCGCTGAGGCGCGATATTTTTTTCGAGGCTGGCCCAGGTGGGGGGGCCAGGTCACGGGGCAGGGCCGGCGGGGCCAGGGGGGCTGGGGCAAGGGCCAAGGGGGTAAGCCGCGCCCAGTGCCAGAACCAGGGGGGCGATGGCGGCTGGGGCCAGGTCAGGGAGGCAGGGCCAAGACCAGGACCAGGGGGGCGACGACAAACGAGAAGAAAGGACCTGGCGCGAGGGTGGCCGGGGCCAGGGCCAGGGGTACGACGACGAACGAACATGAAAGGTTCAGGGAGATGGGGGCTGGGGCCAGGGCCAGGGGAGGGCGCTGGGTCCAAGGACAGGACCAGTACATGGATCTGCAGTGTAAGGACTGCCGAGGATCCTCTGGGAATATGCTGTGGGTTGCAGCGATGCCCCAGTTGTAGATTTCGTATGTTCTGGGAGCGTATGCGTGCGTCGAGCGATAGTGCCAGTCCTATACTGACTGGTGATGGTGAGACGTGTTCACAGACCTGCTCGCCTGAAGCCGATGGGTTATGTATTGGGTCCTTGTTAATAATGGGTGAGCCCCTGCTTGTTGCAGGGTGGGCCCTGCCGCTGGTGGCTCATAGACGCTTGGGGTGTTTGTCTGTAGGGAATATGCTGACACAGTTGCTGTATGGCTTGACGTGGTTGTGGGGGCATTGTCGTCGTAAGGGTCGCGAATGGGGTCGGGTGGTGTGTCGCATAGGTGCGTGTCTCTCCTGTTGTCATCGTCAGGGGAGTGGGCTGTTCCGCCTGATTGGTAGGACGCTCATGTGCTACTGGCGTTCGGGATGTTGCCGTCGTGGCCGCTACTGCTGGTCGGGGAAGCCATGATGCTGCTCAATTGGTGGATGGCGTAGTTCACGAGTGCCTTCTGGGTCCACCAGGTGTGTAAGGGCGGTGGCATGGCATCGGGTCGTGTGCCATGGTCGCGTGGCAATGCGCTTGTGCTGCTCCTTCTCCTCCTCCTCCTCCTCCTGCTTTTCCTCCTCCTGCTCCTCTTCCTCCTCCTCCTCCACCTCCTCCTCTGACTCCTCCTCCTCACGACACCACCAAAAAGGGCCTCGCAAGAACATGCGAATAGGATAGTCACAGAGCGGGCAGAGATGTGGTTCGCAAACTGACCGGGCGATCGATCTCGAGAATTCCGCTCCTGGCCCTGATTTGCTTTGGTGATTCGTCCTCACCTCTCTCCGTTCCCCTCTCCTCCAATCGCCCAATCAGCTGCGACGAGCATTGGTTCAATCCAGAAATATCCCCATTCTTCATTAGCAGAGGTGCTCGCGATGACGCGTCTTTCAGGTTCTTCAGGAAGTCGTTACAGACCTTGTGCGGCAAGCCTCGCATGTCACCGACGCGAGCAAAACACAGGAAGCAGGAGAAGGGGGAGAGGACCAAGACGATGAGCACGAGAAGGATGAGAATCTGGCGGAAAACGAAGACAGAGCAGGAGGAGCAGGAGGAGCAGGAAGGAGAATGGACAGCAAAGCAAAGAACTATTGGACCCAATGTTTGCCATTGCTACGAGACAGGAAAATAGGGATAGTTAGAAGAAGGCGTAAGGAGGAGGAGGAGGGCGCTAAGAGGCAGGGGGAGGCCAAGAAACCATTCGGAAGGCCAGCGCTCGGCCTGCACCGCGCGCATGGTCATCATCAAGAGACGCTGCATTTTGTTGCGGAGCGTCCGAACATGTGTTGCTGGAAGTGACGGTCGAAGGCAATCGAATGCCAGATGCACGATTAGAGAGCCTAGAAGTCAGGCAAACGAGCTCCGCCTGGCCAGCGCGAAGCCGCGAGGGACAGGGACGAGGCAGGCAGATCAGGGGGCAAGCGTGGGGCGGGTGAAGCAATTTGGTCGTTGCTGCTGCTGCCCTGCCGGACTGTAATGATGGGCGCAGCGAGTTTAAAGTGAGGTGGTAGGCCGAACCAAATACTGCGTCTTAGACGTAGCCACTTACTCGGTATGTCGTATCGCGGTAGCGAAATGAGCGCGTTTCTGTATGTTCGGCGATGACGGACGTCATGGGGGGGCGGGCGAGGAGGGGATATGACGTAACGCCCCCCCGCCGTGTGGCTCCGGCACCGCAGCCGCGCCCGCGCGCGCGACGCGACGAGCGACGAGCGAAGAGCGACGAGGACGATGACGACGACGACGACGACGCGAGCAGCATGTAGGTGGCGATATGCCCCACTGCGCCTGTGTACACCACAGCGCTCGCGTGCACCACAACGCGCGTGTATACCACAACGCCTGCGTACACCGCAACAACCGTGCGCAATGCACGCAAGCATTGTGGTGTACGTTGGTGCTGTGTTGCACACGGCTGATGTGGAGAGCTGTTGTGCCCGCAGGTACGGTGGCACAAATTGACGTTGTCTTGCACGCGGCTGCTGTGGTGTACATAGGCTGTGTGGTGTACACAGGCGCTGTGGTGCACGCAGGCACTGTCAGTGTGGTGTACACAAGCGTTGTGGTGCAAATCGCCACTTACATGCTGGCGCTACCCGTCCCCCGTCATTCTTAGGCATTCCCAGACGCTGCCGCCGCGAAGCGTGACGACATCGACCCCTTCCACCCCCCTAGATGATTGCTGTCACTGGCCCGGAATAAAAAACAGGTTTCAGACGCGTCCGCGCGCACGACGACTATGAGCGACGAGCGACAAGCCACGAGCGACGACGACGACGACGACGACTGCGGACCAGACTCCAATGCGGATTCCGGCGCGCACACCTACGCGGATCCCAATGCGCACTGCGGTTGTGCCCGCAGCGCACTGGGGGGGGAGCGTTACGCAATGGGGGGGAGCGAGGGCCATGAGGCCCGTCATGCCCCAAACGAGAAACAGGCTCTAGGGCTAGAGAGAAGCGGTGACCGCGCAAGCGGCAAGAAAGTAGCAGCTCAAGAATAAAAGGTGAAACCCTTTCCGTATCGATGCTCGGTAGCGTGTCGCAGCGCGACACGGTCATATAGGCGGCCGGACGCGAGAGCCGAAACGGCCGCGGACAAACGCTCGCTACTTCTCGCCTTTGCCCATCATCTTTCGGATATAAGGGGGGGAGACAAAACGAGAATCCGCGTCCCGCGCAATTCGGCGAAGCAGCTATGGTACAAAAGGAAAGGCAACAGCACGCGATTCTGGACCGCGGCGGGTTTACCTCGCATCGCATTGCTCCGCGGGCGGCTCAAATATTCTCGTCTGGCCAGCCCTGTGTGGAGCACATCGCTTCAAGTCATGCTTGAAAGATTGCATCCCGACCGTGACTTGTAGGAACCTATCTCCATCAATGCTCCCCTTATCTGCGGTCATGTCGCGAGTGTCGCACCACTGCGCGCTATGCGCGATACCGCGTTCCATCATCTGTGGTCTTCAATTGATGTGACCCAGGAGGGTATATCCAGTCGGCTTCTTCAGGTCTTTGCTTGACAAGGACTTGAAGACATATTCCGCATCAGTGGTGAGGGTGGTCTTGATGCTGAGGCCGCCCGTCTCAATAATGTTATTAAACTGAGTGGGTGTCGGCGGTACTGCGTGCACTTCGTGCAGCGTGGCGATCGCGGAGTCGCAGTCCTCCAATTTGTGGGCCGCAGCTAGCGCTTCAGCGGGATAGCTCGAGCGGACCTGCAGGCGGTGAGACCTGCAGCACGCGTCGACAATATGGACAAGATGGACGACGGGCTGACCAGCATGCGCGTGCCCAAGCCGTAACAGGGTTGCCCCGCGAATGCTATTGCCTTAGGCTTCATCGTCGGCGTCGCCGTTAAAGCGTCGATCACCGGAGTCGCTGTGCAGGTCTACCTTACCAATTCGCGCCATCACTTTATAAACGGTCTTCTTTGGGCAGGCCTACAGTTTCCTGCTAATCGCGCGAAGTCGTCGCGCTTGCCATATAGGTCAGTTCCTGGACACGCTCTAAAGATACAACGTGCACCATTAGCCATACTTGTGAAAGTAGGGCGTAGGCCACATCGCCTCTGAGGCTGACAAACATATCAGTAAGCACATTTGATGCCTTAGCCTAAGCATCTGCGCCCGTGAAATTCACGGTGCTGGCTGAGACGGGGTTGTTTATATATTCGTCTTGATCAACAATAGCATTGCCTTTGTTTTCCTTAGCACACCTCACAATGAAATTAGTGAGCCCACCAACCGCCCACGCAGTCCTGCGGCGCGCGTTGACGGGCGACGCCGTCGTTGTGATCGCCGACCCTTTCGAGGCCAGACTCATCCTTGGACTCTTCAGTTTCTCCATCGGTCTGTGAGATCGCTGGCGGGCAGCTCGCGCCACGTCCGCGCGGGCGCTGCGCGTCGCTTGAGCGGGCGCGCGGACGCCTGCGAGAGTGGCTGCGTCGATGGCAGCGCGGCGGACTGCTTTCAGCTTCCCGCTCTTCGGCGTCGCCAGTACGAGCAGTGCGCCACCGGGCATGGTTGCGTGGCTCATTGCTGTCAACTGCCACTGCTCTCCGTCGTCGTTGGCCTGATCAGCGCGCCACCAAGCCTTGCGGCTCGTGGGGCGCTCGCACGAAGGCCGACTGGGGGCCTTCATTGTGTCCGAAGACGCATTGAACCCGCTGAGAGAGATCACCGGCGTCACGCGGGCTACCCCGCACAAAAAATCATTTTCGCAGGTTACCCCGCACACAGGATGACCCATCACCTGCGGTTGGAACGGTAAATGTAGCTCGTCTTCCGTAGCCAGCATCGTGTCGACATCAGAATCGTCCGGCTCATGTCCGTCCGAATGTGCAGGTGTCGTCGCCGCCGCGTGATGCGCGTCGGCGGATGACTGGTACTCGTCCTCCTCGATGATCTCAATGTAAACAGGTTGCCCCGCGATCGAGGTGCCAAGCCAATCTGCGAGGTTAATCTCACCATGACCAAAGAACACCTCATCGTGGGGCTCCTCGGCGCACCTCTCCAGGGACAGGCCGGGGACCGTTTACCTCGCAGCCAGAAAGTAGACAGCGGCAGAGGGGGCGTCGGCTAGGAACGCGTCGAAATCAGAATACTGAGTGTCAGAATCGCTCTGAGCCAAATGCGTCGATGGACCCCCCTGACTCCCCCGTCGCCCCTGGGGCGCTCGCGACGAAGATGCTGGGTGCGATGGCAAATCTCACATTGCATTGTTTTTCCGTTGGCATCTCTCGGGGTACCCCGACGTCCCTTGCCCTTTCCTGTGGTGCGCCTACGGCCTCTACCTTCACCCAGGAAGATTTCCTCATATTCTGGGTCTTAAAGAGACATCAGGAATGTCAGTACGCCTGTACCATGCAACCGTCGTCTTTGACCCTCGCCTTTACCTTGCCCTTCGACATAAGCACACGTCGGATCACACGTCGTACCCTCCGAATCGGTTTCTTCCTGGAACGCCCCCATCGTCGTTTCTGTTTCTTCGGTTGGGAATACAGGCACACCACAGATATCTATGGGTTCGGTGCCGTCGTGTGCCGATGTGTCGGCATCTGTGCCCGAGTCGAAAGAAGAGTGCAGTTCGGGCTTCGCGGGTTGCCCCGCCGAGCCCGTTAAGGTAGCGGCGTTGGCAGGGGCCGGCGTTGCCGACAGTCCCCGGCATTGAGCCCAACAGTGTTGCGACCCCGAGGGCTGGCCACCTTGTTGGCTGTGTAAAATGGTGGCCTCGTTCGGTTGGGGATCGTCGTTCCGACTGCGCTGGCAGGCTGCTCCGCGCGAGTGTCGCTGTGGAAGACATCGGCGCGGCGGCCGCGATGGAAGACACCAATGTTACCAGGGGTTCGCTCAGCAATGTGGGCATAAGCCCTCGTGCGTTCAATGAAAGAAACAATCAAACTGTTGCTGGGTCCCTAACATTTGGTGGCTCAGTGATTGTAACAGTTGTTGTGCACGAGAGGCGCCGACACCTAGGGCCCTGAACATTATGACTGTCAGAATTTGAAAGTTTGGGGCGTTGAACTCCGCAACGTCGGCGTCGAAGCATGCGATCTCGAAACGGGCCAGCGCGTGGTCCATCCGGTCTCCTACATGGACACGTAGACCGATGAGAACCGTCCCCGAGTTCAGTTGTCTTTCGTCTTCGAGGGTCTCGAATTTAGTGCTGAGGAAGGTACATTATATAGGTGGCCCCATCGGTGTGGCGTCCACCAATGTCCACTCTAAAGTTGATCACGGCTGAGGGTCTCTCATGGCGATAGACCTTGCCAGGCCTCCCTGGCCACGCTGTAAGGCAACAACTTATTGGAAAGGGTTCATGGTGCCTGTGGTCACGGTGATCCAAGCATGCACCTCGCGGGCGCACTCGCGGAAGAGTGCGGTACCGGCTGGGTCCCACTGAGGGCCTGTAGTGCGGGTGTCGTCTGCGCCTCGCTGCATATGTCCAACAACACGGCTGAAACCGACCCAGAGGATACCAAAGATAGTAACGTTGATCCAGTGGCCTCGTACGTCGGTGTCGATGGTGGGTTGCTGTTGTTTGCTAGGTGGCGTTACCGTCAGCTTGCGAAGGGGTGCAGGAGGCACGCTTTCATAACGCATGGTACCATGCATCGTATCTCCGAAGAAGTTGCCAAGGGGCGTTGGTGTGTGGACTTTAGGAGTATAGTAGAGCAGAGATGCTGGGTTCGGGTAGGAGACCTCTGCATAAGCAGAAGCTTCAGTGCAAGTGTCCTTGCGATGGCCATGGTCTCCTCCACGTCGAGCCACTGCGCCCTGATGGTCCACCATATTACTAGTCCACCAGATAGCGCCGTGAATAACAAGGAATAGAGCAGAGCTGGCCACCAGCGGCCACCTCCGCCACCACGTAGGCTCAACCAAATACTGCGTCTTAGACATAGCCACTGATTTGGTCTGTCGTATCGTGGTAGTGACAGGCCTAAAGAGAAGAGATGACCGCGTAAACGGCAAGAGCGTAGCATCTCAAGAGTAAAAGGTGAAACCTTTTCCGTATCGATGCTCGGCAGCGTGTCGCAACGCGACACGGTCATATAGGCGGTCGGACGCTAGAGCCCAAACGGCCGCGGACAAACGCTCGCTACTTCTCGCCTTTGCCCCTCCTCCTTCAGGGCCAACGACCCCGATCCCCAATCCCCGACTGTGGATTTTTGGAACGGGCAGGCGATTTGAGGCCAGTCTCGGGGATCCGCCGCCGTGCCCCCTGGCACTTTGAGGCGCGCCAGAATGCCAGGTGCTGTCTGGCAGGGTTTCTGTAATCTTCTAATAGCCCCACCCACCCCTCCGGGCCACACTTCGTTGCACGCACCAGCCATAGTCCCGGAGGGTCCTTAGGCGGCCATGGCGCCTCACTGGGGCTCCCCAGCGCTTCCATGACGGCCCACGAGGCCCCCAAGACGGTCCAAGAGGGACCCGGTTTGCCGAACGATCGCTCAAAGACGCCCAAGGTGCCCTCAAGGTGGCGCAAGAGGTTTCCAAGGTGCCCCAAGAAGCGCATCCAAGAGGTCTCCCAAAGAGGGCCCCCAAAGACAAACATCATTGATTGCCCTTGCATTTATCAAAAAGATGTTGGCGTTCTCGCCTTTTCGGATTTCCGACGCTCCAAAAGGGCCCAAGAGGACCCCAAGACTGCCCCAAAACAATCCAAAAGGCCTCCAAAAGGGCCCCAAGACGGCCTAAGAGCGCCTCAAGACGGCTCAAGAAGCGCTCAAGACTGCCCAAGAGGGCCCGGAAACATGAAGCGAAAGTCCGAGCCTTCCGCCCCAAGGGGCCCCCCATGAGGCCCCAAAAAGCGCCCAAGAGGCCCCAAGAGGCCCCAAGAGCCCCCCCCCCCAAGAGGCCTCAAGAGGCCCCCAAGAGGCCACAAAACGGCCCCCAAGAGGCCCCAAAACTGCCTCCAGGAGGCTCCCGAGAGGCCCCCCACGAGATTTCAACGAACATTCTACTTGGCCTATAACCCGCAGCCCAGGCACGGTGGCGGGACTTGCCGGTAGGCAGCTGGATCCGCCGCCCCCCCTGCCGATTCATCGCAGGGGTGCCGGGCGTGCTGGACCCTCTCGATTTGGGTTTTGGTTCTTGTTCCCAAGAGAACTCCCCCTGGGGCTCCGGCGCGCCCCGCCGACCACCCGGAAGACCCGGTTGCCATCCCCAAAAAAAGCCGTTTCGCTGGGAGCATCCTCAACAAATCGCGAAGATGGCCCAAGCTGGCCTGCAAGATGCCTCCAAGACAGCCAAGATGGCCTCCAAGACGGCTAAGATGGCCCCAAGATGCATCCAAGACAGCCCAAGATGGCCCAAATATGGTCTAGGACGGCCCAAAAGGCCCGCAAGAGGCCTCCAAGACGGCCCAAGAAGCCTCCAAGAGTTCCTCCAGGAAGGCCCGACGAGGCCAAAATCCTTGATTTTCCTTAGGTGTTTGAAGGATTTTGGCACTTGCGCCTTTTCGGCTTTCCGACTGCCCGTGACGGCCCCAGAGGCCGCCAAGGTCGCCCCAAGATCGCCCAAGAGGCCTCCAGGATGGCCCCATGACGGCCCAAGAGGCCCCCAGAGGGCCACAAGACGGCCCAAGAGGCCTCGAAGACGCCCAAGATGGCATCTAAGACGGCCCTGGAGCACCCCAAGAGGGCCCCAAGTCGGCCCAGAAAGGCCCCCGAAACGGCTTCCGATGGCGTCAGACGGGCCAGGAGCCCACCAAGACGGCCGAAGGTGGCTCGCAGCTGGCCCAAGACAGCCCAAGAGGCCTCCAAGAGGGCCTCAAGGAAGGCCAGAAAAGGCCAAAAAGAGTGATTGTCCGTGGGTTTTTTGAAGGATTTTGACATTTGCTTCGCTTCGGCCTTCCGAATGTTTTTGAAGGATTTTGACATTTGCTTCGTTTCGGCCTTCCGACGGCCCGATACGGCCCGAGAGCTCCCAAAGATCGCCCAAGGATCGCCCAAGAGGCCTTCAAGATGGCCCCAGAACGGCCCAAGAGGCGCCCAAGACGGCCCCAAGAGGCCCCCAAGACGGCCCAAGAGGCCTCCAAGATGCTCAAGATGGCCTCGAAGACGGCCCACGAGCCCTCCAAGACGTCCTCCAAGAAGGCCCGAAAGAGTCAATATGGCCTCCAGGCGGCCAAGATGACCTTCAAGATGCCCACGTGTTCCCCGAAGGCTTTCCAAACCGATTCGGGGAGCACATGGTCCGATAGCTTGGCAGGTCTGGCCTCAACGTTCGGCCACATAGGCGCTTCCACAAAGGCAGGGGGCGGCGGTGATTCGCCGAAGGCGTCTTCGATATACGGCAAGGCGGCGTCCATCCTCGATCGTGTTGCTGGATGTTACTCCCCCTGGGTGTATCGCCGAAATCTCCGCCCCCTCTCCGAGCGGCGCTCTTGGAGCGGAAGTCAAGGTTTGGGGACGAGAGATCGCCTGCGAAACTTGGCTGAGCGAACACTTCTTGGGAGAGTACGATCCGACAGGAATCAGGAGCTGGCCCTGTATGCCCTCAGGGCGGCAGCAGCAGCAGCATTGCAGAATCGGACCCAGGACTCGAAACTCAGGCACCACTTTCAAATTCAAAACATCTTGAGCCTGTGGCATCACGCGGTGCGAAACATCTCGGCGCAGAGCGGATCGCACATCTTGTGGAGGGCCTGAAAAATCCTCCCTCCGCCCTTCGACCTCCAAACGCGTGCCCCCTCGCGCGCGTGGCGTGGCTCAACTAGTCGAAGGCGGAACGCCTCATGGCGTGGTCAGACCAGACGTGACCAGGACCGCGGCGCAGACGCATGCTCACCAGCCCGTCCTTCCTGAGCTCCTCCTTCATCAGCGTGGCGCTGCCCTGCACGCCGTTCACCTCCAGGAGGACGTCGCCGGCCAGCACCGCCCGATCGGGGTTCTGCAGGCCCCACCGCTGACAGAGGAGCCCCTCCGCGACGTTTGTCACCAGGAGCTCGGAGGCGTCATCGGGGCCCTCGAGGCGCAGGCCCATCTTGCCGCCGCCCGTCTTGTCGACGGTCATGACGTACTCTGTGGCAGGCAGCTTCTGCACCGTCGCTGCCAGAGAAGTCCCGCGACCACGCCGTGCCAACGAGCAGCTCCTGGACGAAGACAGGGAAACGGTGGCCACGGCCAAGGCTGAGCGCGGAAACGTCGGTGCTGATCTTGGTCACCATTCGTCTTGGTCGCTGTCAAGTCGTGGATCGTCCTCGCGAATCGGCGATCAACGAAGATCCACATCGACGAGACCCCGCAATGTCTTAGCCATGGCCACCGTGTCTCTTCCCTCGAACTCCTGCAAAGGCGGAGTGGGGCGAAAGCTGGGACAACAAAACACCTTGTGGGGAAAATCCTGGAGGCCTCGAGCGGCAACTTGATCGGTTGTAACAGCAGGAGGAGGCATTCAATACTGCCCCCCAAAGCTCACGCTTGGCACTTAGGTGCGGGGGTCGGCGGCGGAATTGTTTGCCTAATATTGTTCGCCATGCCGACTACTGTTGGGAGAGATCTCATCCTGACAAGTGTCATCCCTTGGGCGACTTGCAACGAAGAAGAAACCCGTGTCCGCTCGCACGAGGCATGTAGTACGAGATCGTACCCTGTCTCTTCCTCCCTCATCGTTCTCCTCTGGGTAGTAGGAGTGGGAGTCAGAATGCGAATCAAGCCAGCCAGGTCGACCGAGTCAGGAGGCCCGCCTACTGTCACCCTCCCTCCCGCAGCATATGAATCAAGTGTGGCACAACTCGACTTGGGCATCAGAACGCGCTCGCTCGCACCCCGCAAACAGAACGCGCTGGCGCGCGGTGCCGCTCCCGACGGCTCGACGAAGAGAAAGCCTGCGCGGGCCGCGCCGGGGCGGGAGCGGCACAACTCCCGATGGGCGCGGCGAGGACGAAGCCACCTTGGCTCACAACCTGCGCGGCGTTGGGGCGAGGTCGGCATTCCGCCCGCCCTCGCGCGGCCCCGCCGCCACTGCCGCTGCCGTGCGCTCCGGCGGACGAGCCGCGCGCCGCGCCCGCTCTGGAACGCCACTCCCGACCCGAGTGCGCGCAGGGAGCTTGGGCGAGGGCAGGAGGTATGAGGGAGCAGGAGGAGTAGTAGGAGGAGGAGGAGGGAGGGAGGGAGGGAGGGAGGGAGGGAGGGAGGGAGGAGGAGGAGGAGGAGGAGGAGGAGGAGGAGGAGGAGGAGGAGGAGCAAGTCGCCCACTCGCGCGGCCCCCCCAAGAGCTGGCGAGCGACAAGTCGTGCGCCGGGTCGTGGCGGGAGCGCCAGATTCAAGGGAAACCTGCGCGGCGCCAGAGCGAAGGCGCCCGCGCGTCGACGCGGTCGCGTGCGCAAAAGGTGCGCCGACCGCACGGGAGCTCCTTTCTCTGGAAACATGGGCGCGGCGTCGAGGCGGGATCGACATTTCGGCCTATCGCGCGGGATGTACGCCTCGTCCCACTCCTGCCGCGCAATTGGCAATGTTGACGACATCATGTCCATGTGACCGATGTTTTTCTCCCCCGAGCAACGGTCGTTACTCGGG